AATATTCATCTCGAATAAATTTTTCTTTGTCCCGCCCCCTCTCATCTATACATACTATACTGCTTTACGTTCAATCAATTTGATTGGTTCGTCCTTGTTCCATTGGAACGAATAAAAGAGTCAAAGGGATAGACATAGAAAAATAAAAATAAAAATAAAAAAGAAAAAAAAGCAAAAGAAGAAGAAGAAGAATCAGGTAGAATTTGGATGCAATTTAAATAACTGTCTCGAATTCTCTTTCTATTTTCAGCTGACATAAGATGATAATTATTTAAATTTAATCCGACGTTTTGATTTCTCTAAAATCCATCCCAGCCCCTTCCCCGTTCCCCTGCCCGTACTCTTAACCCCCCGTCCCCATTGTTCCTTCCTTCAAATAATTTTATATTCGCCAAAAGTTCTTTTTTTTCGTTTTCACGCTTCGTTAGTTAACAAAACGGATAAAAATTTTCTTTGACGTATCATCATCTGAGTTGAATAGAAAACGTTTTCTGGTGTGTGTGTGTGTTAGAGAAGAAACAAACTATAGAAGGAGAGTAGGATGGGGTGGGGTTATTTCGTTTATTTCGTGTCCGGGTTTGATCGAGCGCATAATAAAAGAGAGGCGCGTGGAGAGAACCATGAAAAGAAGAAGAAGAAAAAAAGGGCATGGAGACGGTGAGAAAGGGCATGGTCTACTAACATGGTGTGTCGTATAAGAACGCATAAAGACTAAATAAATCCGTCTGGACACGAAACCCGTCTAATACGTGTTGTGGCCCTACTTTTTTTTTTTAAATGAAATTGACAGTCCGTGCGAATTGAAAAAAAATATGTATGTTTTCTCTTTTTTTTTTTAATATATATGTATATTTTTGTTTATTTTTATAATATATATTTATATATATATTGTATTTATTATTATTATTTATTATATTACATATATTATTATTTATATTATCATTTATATATTATATATTCCATCATGTGAACTAGTAAACTGAAATGAACTATTATTACAATTATTATTGTGTGTATTAATCCTTCTACTACTAGTACTACTAGTAATAATAGTATTAAATATAATATAGTATAATAGTAATGTAAATAAAGAAAATAAAATAATTTCCATTAAAAAAAAAAAAAATAAATTTTTTAAAAATTATTACAAATTTAAGGGAGAACAAATTTTTGCATGCGTGCATGGATCTATAGAAAATTTTCTAAACAAACGGTTAACTTTATACAATTGTGTAACATAACATGTACGTAGTGTACAACCCGTTCGTGTCCTGCCACCTACGCATTTACGTTTAGTGAGTGCTTTTAATCTCTTTGGACCTGACGTAAAGTTTCTTTGTTCTCTAATGTAAGATATTATAGTAGAAAGGTATAAGGATTGAGAAAACGGTGTTGTTTTTTTGTTACGTACGATTGTATTTCTCTGCGTGTTAGTTACTATTCTTATATTTTGTTTTCTCTTCCTTTTCTTCTTATATAATTTCTTTTTGATCTTTTTTGAAACAAAAATATTATTAACGATTAGCATTGGAACACACGGTACATTTATTTCATTGCAAAAATATAATTGTTACGATTTTATTTAGCAATGTTTCTCTACTCTTCCCTTTCCCCCATTTGTTTGTTCAAAACTTTTTAGATATTTTTCTTTCCTTTTGACTTAGGTAAAATACATTCGAGCATAATATTTTTAGTGGGTAAATATATATTTTCAATTGAAATAAATAAAATTATTTCTGACGATTGTTAATAATATTTAACATATATGTATATATTTTTTTTATTATTTATATCATTGTAAAATTTATTTATAATATTTATTTAAAAGTTTAGTAGAAAAGAATAAATAAATAAATCATATAAAAAAAAAATACAAAAAACAAGAGAGATGCAAAGAATTGTAATACTGCAGAATAGAAATTTTTTTTTTTTTAATTAAAAAATAATTTAATACAAATTCGTATTGTATAGAAATAATATAACAATAATTCTTCGAATATATTATGTAATTGCTAAATAAATAAAAAAAGAAAGTATGACATTTATTAATAATAATAATAATAATACAAAAAAATGCTTATGAATTAATTATTTGACAAAAAAAAAAGAAAAGAAAAAGAAACTTATTGTGTCATACTCGAAATGCAACAAAATTGAAAAACATTTAATAATTGTTACTTTTTTTTTGCTTTATTTTATTGTATAAAAACACAATTGTAAATTCGAATGGCTATGTAAATCGACGTAATCTTTGTGTAAGGATTATCAAGCGTATATTTGTATGGGTTTTAAAATGAGGCCTTCGTTATCAAGAAACAATAAATGAAAGAATCAAGTCAACACTCGTTTGTATGCGATGATGCATTTCTTATTTTTTTAATTTTTTTTTTTTTATATTAGCTGACAATTTATTAAAGAATAAGAAAGAGAGAGACAGATGTACTTAACAACATATATACACATATCATAAATACACACCATATATGTATATATATATATATATATANATATATATATATATATATATATATATATATATATATATACATTTTTATTGTTAGTTCGATGTTAAAGAGAACGCGGTTATCGGTTTTGACCCATGTTATATTCGCTTTTTCTTTTGCTTTCGCAATAATTTGTGAAATATGTTTTTTTTTTATATCTCATTTATTAAATGTATATTTTATAAACAAATGAAGAATCAAATTCGATGAATTATTTTCTGTTTTTCTTTTTATTTTTTGTTTTTTTTTTCTATCGTTCCTACAAGACTTTTCGTGTTCTTTAACAAATATTTATTAAAATTATTACCGATTAAGAAAAACAAAAATAATAATAAAACATAAAGAAGAAATTAATTAAATCAAATTATGATAGAACGTACCTAGCTTTGAAATTTTAAACGATTTCAGGTCATTTTAATTAAAAAAATTTGTATAATGAAAAGGATATTAGAAAATTGGATGATTAGAATTCTAGAAAATATTTTATACATTGATGACTTTCGAGGTCAATGAATTAAATACGAGAGACAAAAAAAAAACAAAAAAAAAAAACAGAGGATAAATATAATATAAAATGATTAAACCGTAGACGGGAATATATCGGTGATACATTTCGAAGGTCGTTCTAATTAAAAAAAAAAAAAATGTTCGATACAATTGTACGAATTGGAAAAAAAGGATAAGATAAAAATAAGTGTAATGAAATAGGACATTCGTTAATTAGGATAAAAAAAAATTTGTAATCTTTTTTATAAAAAATTTCTATGACAATAATCATAGAGAAATTGAATTTAATTATTATGTTAAAATAAAATCATTTGTATTTCTCATTCTTTCTTTCTTTTTCTCATAGATTAATTGTAAAACATTAAAAATTATTATTATAATTAGTTCGTGATAGATTAACGATTGAATTATTCCACTTTAACGATATAATAATTATTATTAGTGATACATTATCACTTTTGCGTAATAAAATGAAAAAGTAAGTGAGATATATCAGGTGTAACAAAAAAAATTTTTAATTATCTATATAACTCGATTGTTATTGATTATAGGAAAAAAAAAGTAATGTTATTTATGAACGAAAGAGATTATTATATAAATGTATTATAATGATTAATAAATTATATAAATCATATTATGTTATTTTTTAAAGAAAATTAATGGGAGTATTTTAATTTACTATTAAAATTTTGTATAGTTACTTATAAATGAAAGAAATCAATATACAAATGTATTATAAATAATTAAATATTATAACAATCATATGTTATATTTCAAAGAGAATTAGTTTATTATTGCGTACATAATACACAAACATATTACATGTATATTCTTCATTCAAAGCTGTGAATCATCAAATGAAAGAAAGAAAGAAAGAAAGAAGTTTCTTACTGTGTGTCCATTCTGAACAAAGATTAAAGAAATATTAAAGAAGAAAGAGAGAAAAAGATAATAAAAAAAACAAAAAAGAAAATATGTGGCAATGAACTTTTGACTTACAATGTAATAAAAATAATCAACAAACGCATATGCAATTATGCATAGATGCGTCCACGATAAAATAGAAATATTTATTTCATTTCATTTTTATCTATTCATTTGTTTATTTATATATCTTGTTTTCTTTCTTTTTACTATTTATTAATCATTTTCAAATTTGTTTTTTAAAAAAATACACAAAAAAGAATTGTGTATATAGTTTGTGTAAATGGAATCTTCTCGAAAAGTACATTCGTTTATCTTAATGTGGAGATAGGAAAGGGATAGAGAAAAAAAAGGGTTTCTTTTGGGGAGGGAGGTAGAAAAGAATAAAAAGAAAAGAAAAGAAAGAAAGAAGTAAAGAAAGAAAGAAAGAAAGAAAGTAAGGAAGGAAGGAAGAAGTGAAAAAGAGATAGTGTTGAGTTACAAAGGGACGAACTTGTGCATCTTTCGTTTCAATTGGACCAACTGTTAGGATCGTTTATTTATAGTACGTGTGCACATATGCACTTTCGTATGTACTGACGGATTTAAATCGATCATTTCACTCTTTCCCTCTTTCTCTCTCTGTCTTTTTATGTTATTCAAATTTTACTTTGTCAAATTTGATCGTGACTCATTCTGTAAGTAATTTTAAATGTAACTTATAATACTTTATTATAAATACGACAATATTTGTTTACAAAAAGAAAGTATACTATTTTCTAATTTGATAAAAAAAAGAAATTTTGTCGGAATTTATAGTCTCCTTGACGTTTTTATATTATTATTTAAACGTTAATATGTACTTGTTATTATACTTTTATTCTTTACACGTATGATGCGTATTGTGTCAGAATTCGTGACAAATCAAAGAAAATAATGTTAAATAATTACGTATGTAATACGTGTCTTTTGTACCTGTGTATCTTCCTGTCTTTTATTTTTCTTCTCTCACTCTCTCTCTCTCTCTTTATTTTTTCTCTTTCTATTATCCCTTTTAGATAACAGATTGTTCTTTTGTTTTTATAGAGTCGACCAAAGACAGATTAAAAGGAAAAAAATATAACGATACTACGCCAGATGTTTTACCTTCTGCCAAGGGAGATTTAGAATACATTGTACCAATGAAAATTAGCCAAAATCAATACGAAGATCCACGTAAGTTATTTTTAATTATTTTTTATTTTTTCTATGATTTTATAAATATATATATTTCATAATACATGCAGATTTTCATACGAGTATATAGAGTTTAATATATTTATAAATTAAAACAAGTGTTTCTTTTATGTTTTTATTTAAGCGTGTTATTTTATTATTTTCATTCATTAACCCTTTGACTGCTAAAGGCGTATATTTATGCTCTCACAAATCCATCAATATATTCGAAAGGCGTAAATATACGTCCTCTGTATTTTTTTACTATAACACCTTTATTGCTGTTTTACCAATTAATTTAACATGGAATTTATTGTGATATGTAACATAGCAACTAAATTACTTTAAAAAAATTAAAAAAAATTCATAGTTTTATTTTATTTGCCATTATTATCTTTTTTGGTTAGTAGTCAATAGAAAAACAGTCGCAGCGACTGACATGCGAAAATCGCGCCGTTCATATTAATGGATTGGTTCGAGAGCACGCCGCAGTTAAAGGGTAGTATTATTAAAAATAATAGAGTATTGGCAAAATGAGTTAGTATAAAAATAAAATAAATTTAAGAAATAAAATGTGTAATGAAAATGAATATAGTAGATATTTGATATCTAGGATCATTTATTTCGAAAGTGTTTTCATTTATATTATATATATGGACCGTTTATTTTGAAAGTGGTGTGTAAGTCCACTTTCTCTTATTTCGAAAAAATAATAGGTTAGCACATCTGTTAATTAAAAAATTTAGGCAAATTATATGAAGTCTAGCAATGTTTTTATTAATTTATCAATATGTAATTTTGTTATATAAATTTGTTTTATGCGAATTTGACTAAACTAATGTATATTTACGGGCTGCAAATAGACTTACACCACTTTGAAAATTAAACAATTGTATAAAAATCGTTTTATTTCAATTTTGAAAAATCAAATATCATTTAAAATATACTTTATATTAATCCAATTTTATTTACAATTAATGACAAGATATAAAATAGAAGCAGTATTTTTAATTTGAAACGTTAATTACATTGTAAAAATTGCAAGATATTAGTGGTACTCACTTATGCTCTGTATATGGTAGTATTTTGAAATATTCATGATGCACAGGAAGTATATAAGGTAATACCTACTTGATATCTTTATATTTTTCAAAACTAATAGGTTACTGCACTGACATCTTGGTATAAAAGCGCTAGGGATATTTTTTCTAATTTTACCGATTTTTTAGGACGTGTAGGTAATTTACAGTTTTACATTCTTTGTCTTTCGCGTCGATGTTTTATATAAAATAATGTATGGTACACTTTTAAGAAACCTCATCCAACATATTTGCAAATAATTTACCTTTTCTTCATTAGTATTTCTTCTTATCTGTTTTTTTGATTGTGTTTTGAAGATTTTTTATTGAAACGAAATTCTCTCATTTTATTTCATGTAAAATTAATTTATTATGTTTTCTACATTGTGTTATTAAATCATAATAATCCTATGGTTTACATAGGAAATTCTTTTTCCCTTTTTTGCTATGGAAATTGGACACACACCACTTTTATAATCAATGATTAGGCAATTTCTTTTACCGACCAATTTTAAATTGTACATAACATGTACAACACATTTTAAGAAAGTAAATACTAACTAGTTATACACATAAAAAGTTTACATTCAATTAAGCATAAATTACGTGATATCTCATTTTTTTTTTTTAAATGGACTTACACCACTTTCAAAATAAACGGTCCATATATGCATTACATTTGTTTATATTTTTAAGTTCATTTGTGTGCAGTTCATAAATATATATTGTTTTAATTAAATTCGTTTAAAAGAGAGATAGAAAAATGTATATAATCAAATTTACATATTGATAAGTTAATAAACTTGACATAATTTATTTATATTTTTAAATAATTGATTAATATGCTAAACTTTTCTCAAAACAACCAAAACAAAAATCTACTTGCACTTATTTTCACTATAAAAGGTTTCATATTGAAAATACATATTTTATATATTATTGTATTTTGAAAAAAAAAAAAAATAAGCGTAATGGAAAAATAATGATAAAATAAAAATGAATTTAAATTAAGTTTCTTTTATTTTCTAGCCGATCCATCTACAACATCAACAAGACATCACAGTGGACATTTTCGACATTCTACTGCTAGAGTATGGGATCCACATCCGCAATACGAATTTACAGCTTTTGGAAAATTCTTTCGTTTGAGGCTAGCTCACGATTCGAGTTTTATATCACCTGATATAAAGGTACAGTATTAATAAACGAGAATCAAAATCATAAATAAGTTATACATTCTTTCTTTTTTCTTTTTTCATTTTTATAAGTGAAAGTGATTCTTGAAACTGGAACAGGTTACTATTCTTTGTTAAATAAATAAACAAAAAAACAACAAATGATGAAGATAAAAATCATATAATATATCAGCATAACATTTTTTAACTTTTGTGTTTTATTATATTTTTTTTTTATTTAGGTATCATTGAATGCATCTGCTAAATGCAATTTCTAACCAATTTATTCATTTTTTATTTAACGTATAAAAATTTTGACCTAATGTTATCGAAATATAAATATATATATTTAATATTTTATACAATTGTTCTAATAAATATTAATAGTTTTTTCTCAATTTTAAGAATATCATCTTTATATTAAATATTTATAGTATATATATATATATTTATCGAAATATTATATATATTTTAATATGTTATACAGTTGTTATAATAAAGATGAAAAGTTTTTCTTTGTTTTAAGAATATCATCTATATATATTAAAAGTTTATAGTAGATATATATTTATATATTAATTATGTCTATGTGCAGGTAACACATATAAGTGCAAACACAAGTAGAAAAGTGCATCCTGGTCATCAATTGGATTGTTTCTATAGTGGATATATCGATGGAGATCCTGATTCTATAGTAACTGTTAATCTTTGTCATGGAATGGTAAGTCTTATTAAATAATAATAATAATTATAATAATTATAATGATCAGAAATAATTTTGATTGAAAAAATCATGGTTACAATATTTTCTATCGTTGCAATAAGATATAATATATTGAATATTTAATGAAATCGTATAAAAAAAAATTATTTGATAATTTAACGAAAATGAAACATTTGGCATTAATAAATGTTGATTTGTAGGAGAACAGATATTGTAACTTTAGAAATATGTAGTCACAAATGATCTTATAAATAAATATTACCACGGGAATACACAGTAACGTAGTAGTTCGGTTAATAATATTAGTGAACTAAATACGTGAACTTAATACTTCGTTTCCTTGCATTCGTCCATTGCATTTCGCTGTTTTTAGTGCGGTCGTATTATAGTGTGGTATAGTCTATCCAAATTGGACAGTTGCCATACGGTTACGTTAAAAACAAGTTTCCGGATTATCTTGGCAAATCAGTCCTGTGAAAACGTATAAGTGTATGTATATGTGTATGTATGTATATATATATATATGTGTATAATACACTTAAGGTGCCGAGATAGTTGGTTGGCTGACTGACTGACATGAGTTTAAGTATGAAAATCTAAGACACGTGTGTTTTAACACACGTTTTTTTAAATTCAACAATTACGGTATTTCATGATATTGAAAATGTTCTTAATTCGTTTCTACTAACTCATTATCGTTTAAAAATATACTTTTTGATTATTTCCAAATAAATTCTTACTTGCTTGCTTGCTGTTCGATGGAGATTAGGCTAATGAATATGATTTATGAATATAAAATATTATTATTGAAGATAAAATGAAATAAATTTAAAGAACAAGAAAATAATAAGAGAATATATGAGAAATATGAGGATTTTGTAATATAATATTACATTAGAGGTGTGATTATGGTTTAAAGAGAAAATGATTGATATATCACGTTTGATCATTATTATTTCTTAAAAAAAAATTTTCACTCCGATAAAATAAAATTCAAAGATAAGTAGTAAAGTTAAGGTCGTCATTAACAAAAAAAAATATATAATCTTTGATTTATAATGAGCGTAATAATGCAATAGTATTACTGTCTAATTATTCTTGTGCTGTTGAAGTATATATGGAATGAAAATTGATCCGTAGAAAAATATTATATTAGAAAGAAAAGAAAAAAGGAAAAAAAAGAACCATTGCAATTTTTTACAGTACAATAACGTTTTTTTTTTTTAAATATGGGTATAGTGTTACGTTAATTTGATAATTATGAAAGATATTTGATAATAATAATAATTATATAATATTACATTAGAAGTGTGATTATATTTAAATAAAAAAATTATTAATATATCAAATTTGGTCCTTATTATTTATTAAAAAAAAATATATATTTTATTTTTAAATAAAACAAGAGGTAGAAAAAAATATTGTTTTAATTGGAGTTAGTTCATAGGGAGAAGGAGGTGAGTTTCGAGTGGGGTAAATTTTTTATTCCGAATACGTTATTATTATCGTATCGTTCGATCGGCGAATTTTTATGTTAGATCTTTTATCTTTATCTTTTTTTTCTGACTCATGTCGAGTCATTCGAACGTTTTAAATAGGGTTATAAAATACCAATATATGTAGGGGATTAACAAAATTCGAGTTAAGTCGTATCGCTCGTTTTAATACGAGCTCGATAAATTTGAAGGAAACATTGCTCCTCGTTTTTAATTTTATCGTTTTAAAAAAAGATATTATTTTAGAAGAATTTGTTGTAAATTTTTAAAATGCGTCTTGCAGTTGTATACGTATTCTATTGGTCAATATCGAACGTTGGTAATTTTTTTTTTTTGAATTAAAGAATTAGTATAAATGAGTAGGTACCTCAAATGGATTTTAAAAGTTTGTTTATATTTATTTATTGTTTTTTTTATAGAAATATTTTAACCAATCTTTGTGCTTATTATTTGAATAATTGTAGTTTTAGTTAAAAAGAAGAAAAAACAGTCTAAAATAAGGAGTATTAGAATTTTGAAAAATAATTTAAATGCAATCTTTTTTATAATCTGATTATTGTTATTGGGGATCAGCGTAATGTAAAAATTACAGGTATGGTTGAATTAAAATTTTTAAATAATAATTATTTTTTAGTAATAAAAAATACTTATTTTTCGAAATTAGTTGTTAGATTTTCATTAAAAAATTAATAAATAAAATATTAGATGAAGCGGTCGCCAAAAAAAAAAAAAAAGAGAATCGAACAAATAAAATTACTTAAATCAATCGATTTATTTTTCTTACTAATAATCGAGAAAATCTCTATATTATTAATTTTTACTATTCTAACATAAAAAAATGAAATTCTATCACTCGTAATGAAAAAACAAAAAATACAAATTGTTACTAAAATTAATTTTTTACCTGATTGAATTGATAAATATTTTATTTTWTTTTTTTCTTGTCTTTTTCTTTCTTTTCGTTCGAAAGATTTTCATCAAATATTTCTCAACGGATTAAACTTTCGCACGGATATATTTGTTACGTAAATCTAAAAACGGTCGAGTTTGAGAAACGTCTAATTAATGAAATTTGAACTTTTCTGGGTCCTGGGCAAAGCGAGTTCAATGATGACGAAAACTATGGTACACGTTATATTATATCACTACTCGTCTCGTTTAAATCTCTTTTAATCTTTTTTTTCTTCTTTCTTTTTTCTTTCTCTTTTTTTTTCTTCAAGGAAAGATATCCGGCACTTCAGTTAAAGGAGTCCCTACCTAAAGTCAACGTTTACCTTTAGTTACCGTCGTCGTAAATTTCGTTTCAAAAGAAAATTTCATTCGGGTTTCCCCCACTACCCCGTAGAAGTGACCCCTTTACTCCTCTTCGTGGTTATTTTCACGGATTAACGTAATTCACAACGGAGTAAAGCTCGTTTGCTTGACACCTTGGGGGACATGTATTTATAAAAAAAAAAATAAACAAAAAATAAATAAAAAAAAATAAAAGAAATAAATCTTATGGTCGAATCATTTTATTTTTATTTTCTTTTCTCCTCTTTTTCTTTTCACCCCTTTTCGAATTTTGAATGCTTGTTCTAATGAGGTATTAAAGTAAATTTTTAAAGGAAGAGAAAAAACATATATATTGTACTTAAATAATAAAGTAAATAATAATATGAAAGGGATTATGTCGAAACGAAATGATGCTTATAAGATTTGAAACGTTCACATTGTGAAATAATATTGTAATTTATATTATATATGTATATTTAATAATGTTATTTCATAATAGAAATGAAAATAATATTTGTATTTATGATGCATTTATTTTACGTTGGTTATAATACAGTGTTGGGTCCTTCCTTGTATTTATATTAATTTAATAATAGAATTTTATTTTGTTATAACACATAGTTTTAGTATTTGATTGATTTATCTTTCTCTCTCTCTCTCTCTCTCTCTCTCTTGAATAATATTTATATTCGATAAAATATAATTTAATAATATATAATATAAAAAAAGGTTTGTTTTCATACACTTTTTATTTATTCTATATTTTAAATCAGGAAAAGTTATATATATATATATTATTAATATGATAAAATACAAACTTTAAGAGAACAAAATTAGGATAATTATCATGACATCTATAATCCTTCATTTAACAAAAAAAAAAAAAAAATTTACGATCCAAACACTACTTTTGACTTACAAAATTGATTTTATTTTATATCTAATAATCGATATGATTTAAATACATATATATATATATATATATATATATATATATTTATTTATTTATTTATTTATTTATTTATTAAATAAAGAAAAAATTTTGTTATTAATATTGTAAAAATTAGTGTTTATTAATTTGACGAGTTAAAGAAAACTCTTATACAGAGGTAATAATTCTTCTTGTCATCATCATTTTCTTATCTCTTCCTTTATTTTTCAATATGGTATGAGAGGTCTAAAAATAGTCGGGGTTCAAGGTCCTATTCGTACATGAACAATCGAGAAAGAGAGATAGAGATAAAAAGAGAACGAAGGACCGGGAAAAGAATGACCGCAAGGTGTTACTCGTTTTATGGCAATTTTACACCCTAACATAAGACATATTCTCGATAGTTCACGTTAACACACTCGTGTTCGAAGGGAAAATAACGCATTCGTATGATTACCCGGAAGAAAACGAAGAAATTCGAACGGTTCTAAAAATATTAGAATTTTGTTTTTGTTTTCTTTTTCTTTTTTTTTATTATCTTATATTATAATATAATATAATTAAAAAATTTTTATTATTATTATCTTATTATTATCTTTTATTATATATTTTTATATAATAATTTTTATATAATAAATATTTTATTTATTATATATTTTTATTTATTATATATTTTTATTTATTATAATTATTATAATTAATTATTTTATTATCTAATATTTATATATTTTATTATATATTTTATTAATATATATTATCAAATGAAGAATAAAATTTGTAACTTCGATCGAGATAATAAATAATAATAATAATAATAATAATAATAATAATAATAATAATAATAATAAATTTGATGAATATTAAATTATCAGATTACAATATCAATTTTAACAAATTCGAATGTGTTATATTTTGAGTAAATAATCCACGCAATAATCCTATCTTCAAAAATTTAAATCATCGTTCATAAATAAGAAAGATTTATCTAATTATTGGGTAAAAAAAAAGAGAAAACATAATATGAATACAAATAACAGAGATAATCTAAATTCAAAATGAACGAACGAGTCATTGACCGATGATCTTCTGTTTAGGTATGATTAGAGACAACCACTACTATCATTAACATTTTATATCAACTCGTTGACGATAATACACGTTATATTATGCTTATATATCTTTCTATAAATGTTGTCGTATTAAAAACTACAGAAATACAGTACACACACACACACATATATATAACAAACGACCAACACAACAGCAGTGATGATGATACACATTGAATGTTTTAA